ACCGAGGTCCATACTAGCCTACTGAACTAAACAATACACTACAGGCAGCTTGCATACATAGTCGCCATGATGGCGAAGATACGACTGTCAGGGGAGAACACAACTTGGTCACGTGATTGGAATAATTTTTAAATAATATATTTTACTATTGAACTGATAATAGTTTTAAACTATATAAAAATTTAACTTTTATAACCAGCTGGTTCACATTTAAGAAATTATATATTTGGAATAATTTTCCTTTAAAGTTTAATTGTAACGTTAGATAGGCCAATATAAAATAATATTTATTAAATAAAAACGAATATAAATTTGTATTAAAAATTTATTCTTTTAATTCGCCTAACAAATATTCTAAAATCATAAATGGTTATATTAAATCTAATTTGTTAATTATAGACAAATCTGTTGCAAACTGTTTCTTTTTTTAATTCAAACAAATCAAATGACTTGTATTGAATGTAACTGGTTTATCTCAATGAAACTAGCATAAATGTAAACTAACTGCATTCAAAACAACCGATTCCTTTAATAGAAAGTAATTGTTTTTTCAGTGTGAAGTGAAAAGAGAATTTTGTATAGTACAAAATTGTAGGTTTTGGTTTTTTGAAAATTTTGAATATTTTTTCAGTAGGATAAAAATTAAGTAAGATATGGCCGTTTAAAGTTTGAATATGTTCGTAAATAGCAACTTGTTCAAACCCTTTCAGCTCAAACCCTTACAAAAATAAGGGCTGAAAGAAAATGTATCTTATAGCCCTTGAAAAAAACCTACAAAATGGTTTTTTGAAGGGCTTGATAGCATAAAAACTAAGCGAGTTATGCGTAAAAAACCTATCACATATTTTTGCAGATATCAGAACACGTAGGTATATTGAAGCATTGATGAATACACAATATAGCTATATTTTAGGAATAGAAATAGGAATTTTAGGAATAGAATAGAAAAGGAAGACGAGAGTGAAGAGGATTTTTGATTATTTATATGTTATTTNTACAACATTCAATAATGAACAAAAAATCTTTAGTTACTTTTTTTCGTCCGAGACTTCCTTTACGAATAATAAGCGATAATATCCGAAAAAACGGGCCATTTTTGAATGTATTTAGATTAAATATCTCGTCATTCAAAAATCCCCCCTCCCCCTTCCTAACCTACACCTTACGTCATCAAAAAAATAACAACAACAATAATAATAATAATGATAAAGAAGTGCTTTGCGCCACCCCCAAAACCAGTCTCTGGATCCGGGCCTGAGTTGAATAGTTTATAAGTTATGGCCTTATAAACAAATTAACTAATTATTAGTCTGGGCGATCCCGAGGATCTTCCACCATCGCACTGATTTTTTTCAAAGTAGATTTCATAATAATACATTGAAATCTATCTTTTTTTTTTATTTTTTAGCCTTAGTTGCAAAATGAAATTATACGACGCATGAGCGTGATATAGTTATATATTATTACATATTCGGAAAGCTTATGAAAAGAGCTTTAAGTTAAAAAAAAATCGTCAAGATTCGTTGAAAAATAACGGAGTTACAGACTGTCAAATTTATTATTTTCAAGCAAATTTCCCTTATTTAACGGTAAGACTATAAATATTATCGTTATTTTCTTCGGACTCGCTGTCGTTCGCTTCCCCCATCCCTCCGCCGCGCCACTTCTCGCCGAAAATGAGGCGACCCACTGACTTTTGACAATATTTCTTATGCACTTACTTCCACAAATAAAATATTTTTACTTGGGAAAGTACTCGGATTGCCGGTTATAACAGTATTTTTTTGCCGCTGCCAACCTAATTTGTTTAACATTAGGCCGTCAACTTTGACATTCTGTAACTGCCTTGTTTTTCAACGAAGATTTTTTAACTTAAAGCTCTTTTCATAAGCTTTTCGAATATGTAATAGTATATAACTATATCACGCTCGTGCGTCGTATATTTAATTTGGAACTAAGGCAAAAAAATAAAAAAAAATTCTGGTTGCAAATTTGAAATTAAAAAAAAATAGATTTCAACGTATTATTATGAAATCTACCTTGAAAAAAATCAATGCAATTGTGGAAGATCCTCGGGATCGTCCAGACTAACTATTCCAGATTTCGTGTGAGTTATTAGACAGTTATAAGGAATGCGAGGATGCGATACCAAAACTTTCTGGTAATAATAACGCAGTTTATAAATGCTTAATTCAAAAGTCATAAATAAATTTCTTCTGTTAAATTTCTTCTGTTTATAACTTTTGTTCTAATCAATATTTTTTTACTCTCGAGTGCTAGTTTTGTAGGTCTTTTGAAGACGAAAAAAAGTACTTTACTGTTTTCTCGTGGAAATGAATGGAAAAAAGTTATAAGCGAAAAACGTGAATATACATAAAAATTATACAATTAACCACCCTGTAAACAATCTTCCCCCCATTTTTATGACTGTGGAAACTAATATGTTATTGTACATAATATTTAACATCTATAGTGAGAAATTCAGCTTGCCGAAACAAAAAGTCGCGAAATGGTCATTTCCCACCTTATTTTCCTGAACTATTTGTCACGTTTGTGAGTTTGTGATTGATCTGTATCAAGCTTTTGATTGAACTGTGGTGATTATTAACATTATTGTCTATTAATAGTGACTCCTTGAAATGCATGGTTCCTGGTTGCTTAACAAACAATTGAAGCAAATTCTTTTAAAAATCTAAGTTGAGGCTTGCATACGCAAATACATATTTAACATCAAATAGACTTGGATTTGTTAAAGGTGTTTTAAAATATCGGACTATATTCATATTTTTGTTAAATTAAAAAAGGGAAGCTACAGAATTAATAGGTACTAGAAAATTTTTGTCAAAGAATACATATATTGAAATTCAGGAAAAATTCTGAAAAAGCTACACTAGAATTACCGATAATGTTGAAAATTCTGAAGAATATGTATTGTGGTTATGAAACCAGTTTTTATTTATTAGAAGCGAAATCATAAACAATTAGCATAAAAATTATTAATATAAAATGCACTCACTCTTTTCTTTTTATCAGTAAAGCAGCGATGAAGTCCCTGGCGTTCTGAGAAACGGTATTAAATGCTTCATCTTCAAAGTCATAATCGGCTCTTGTGATGTTGGCAAACGTTTCGGAGTCTGTATCGCCCATGAATGGAGAAAGGCCCGACAATCTACAGAGAAAAAAAATTATTAGTAAATAAAATAAAGCAGTAATTAGAACTTGTCCCATAGACTGGGCCAAAAAAATTGACTATTTTTTTGAAAGATATAGAATATCATTCAGAATGAAGAAAAAAAATATCGTGAGAGTTTGAGCCCTTAATATTAGTTTTAAGATGTCTATCATCGCTAGTTTCGATTTTTTATTCCTATTGCGTCAAAACTGCCAAAAAATCTAGGTAAAAAAATGTATCTACATATATTTTTGAAGGAAACCGAATGCCCTACAAAAAAAGTCTGATTGAAAATTTTCGGCAGACGAGAAGTTTCCATTTAATCAAGCCTAGAAAATTGATACATTTTTCGATTTGACTTATTAATTTTGGAATTTTGTAAATAACGAACAAATTAATACCTGAAAAAAAAACAATATAGATTTCCAAAGGAAATGTAATGCTCTACATAAAAGGCCTCTTAACATTTTTGCATACATTTACTCCTTCAAAAGTTATTCACGATTGAAGTTGAAGTAAAAATTAAATTTTTGTTTTTTCGTTTTGGACCCAATTTTTTTCACTCAACTGAACAAATTGATATTATACATCATCGACAATTATTATTCTATCAATAAATCACCAAAAATATTAAAAATTCATAATATATTCAAATTAATTCTCGCTCAATTTTTTCTACATAATTGTTGTTATTTTTTAAATTTTTTTGAGACAGTAAAACTACGTTCTTGTAGAAAAAATAGCTAATGAGCGAGAATAAATTTGAATATATTATGAATTTTTGATATTTTTGGTGACTATATTGATAGAATAATAATTGTCGATGATGTATAATATCAATTTGTTCCGTTGAGTGAAAAAAATTGGGTCCAAAACGAAAAAACAAACAAAAATATAACTTTTACTTCAACTTCAATCGTGAATATCTTTTGAAGGAGTAAATTTATGCAAAAATGTTAAAAGACCTTTTTTGTAGAGCATTAAATTTCCTTTGAAAATCTGTATTGCTCTTTTTCAGATATTAATTTGTTCGTTATTTACAAAATTCCAAAATTAAAAAGTCAAATCGAAAAAATATATCAATTTTCAAGGCTTGATTAAATGGAAAAATGGAAACTTCTCGTCTGCCGAAAATTTTCAATCAGACCTTTTTTGTAGGGCATTCAATTTCCTTCAAAAGTATAAATACGTTTTTTTATCTCGATGGTTTGTTTGGCAGTTTTGACGCAAAAATGGGATCAGGAATAAAAAATCGAAACTAGCGATGATAGACCTCTTAAAATTAATAGTAAGGGCTCAAACTCTCACGATATTTTTTTTTGTCATTCTGAATGATATTCTCGATATATGTTTAAAAAAAAAATAGCCGATTTTTTTGGCCCAGTCTACTGTACCTAACATATAGTTAGTCCGGAAAGTATGAGGATTATGAATTTAGTTATAAACTGCATAATTGTTCGAAGAAAAAAAAAAAGAAAATTTAAAATGTTGTAGTCAATAAAGACCCTTTATAGCTAGGCTTCCTTAGCAAAATATTTTTTATTCTGACAGCAGTGTAACATTCCTGAACCCTATTTAATGCTGATTTTGTTAGGGTTAAACAATTTTTACTATAGCTAAAACATATTTCCCTTAGTGTATAAATCGAGTAAAAACAGCGCCATTTTCGAAAATATATTGTAGAAATCCTTAATGAGTAGAAACCATCCCCTATATTTGTTTGGTCATAGTTTCCCGACCACCCGCTATTACTATTATCCATTTTTTTATTCAGAATTTTGCACTTATTAACTTACAGTACATAGCAGATGACTCCAAGGGACCACATGTCCGATTCAACTCCAATGGGTTCATAATTTATAATCTCGGGCGGGATGAACTCCGGTGTGCCAAAGAGTACGCGGATCGGATGTTCGGGGTTAAGTCTCTGGGCTAGCCCGAAATCTATAATTTTTATTTCGTGCGACGTCCTGGTGTGGCACATTATGTTTTCGGGTTTCAGGTCCAGGTGTACTACGTTCTGGGAGTGCATGTAAGCAACCCCTTCGCAGATTTGCCTCGTGAACAAAATACAGTCTTTTTCGGTGAGCGTGAAGTCGTCGGCCACCACTCGTTCAAATAATTCTCCTCCGGAAATACTGAAACAATAAAATATTTGTTATGGTATAAACGTAACTATATTAAGCCATTTGCGTAAAATTTTATAAAGGAGAATTTAGTCCAGTCAATGACCATTTTTCCGTATAATTTTGCCAATCAGCACCGATTTTCATAAAAATTTGGATTAAGTTCTACTTACCCTCTACTACAAAGTTGACCTTGTAACGGGGGTTGCTTTTACTCTGGGGGTGGATACCACCCCTTCTTGGGGATGAAAAATGTTTCATTGCAAATAACTCCAGGAATGGATATATTGTCTAATTCTAAGCAACTTTTGTTCTATAAAGTTTTTTCTGAAAGTCAATACTTTTCGACTTATTCCCGAGTGAAAGTGTACATTTATTAACCAATAAAACTACTTTTTCAGACGGTTTTCCGCGAATAACTCAAAAAGTATTTTATCAAAAAACTCATTCTTATAAAAAATGTAGCTTATAAAAAAAATAAAATGAATGGTGTGTTTATGGTGTCTGTCGACCCAATACAAGTGGAGTAATAGCTTGTTGAAGGTTGGTTCTTATTCGTCAAACGCCAAAATTGAAAGTTTGAACGTGAAATACTCAAAAACCAATGCATTTTTCATGGAATACTCATAGAACCTTTTTTAAAGTTTTTGAAAAAACCTTTATTTTTTATAAAAGTCCCTACCATCAAACCTAAGTGAGTTATGACGAAAATAAAGTTGGTCCGTATTTTTTTCGACGACAAAAAACGTGAAAATCATCCCCTAATTACCACCCCAATTGAAAATCGTTACCACTTTACAAGTTACTTTATTCATGTACTTGTATTATGCTCTAGAAGTTTGACCGGTTTAAAGTGCTTAGTTTTGAAAAAAGTTGTGCCTGCACTGAAAAAAGGATTTATTTGGACTAAATAAATATCGTTTGCCATGAACTAATCCTAGTTTTGGATATTGCCTAGCATATATATTGTGAAAAGTAGCTAATAATAAGTTCATAGATTTGTAATAAATCTTATTTGAATGTTAAATTATTTTTAGTGTAATATCACATTTCGCCTCTTTATTATTAATCTACATATTTTAAGATGTAGATGACATAAGATTATTAGAAATATATCTTAGCTTAATGTGAACTAACAGTTTTTCAGTGAAAATAGGTTATTTTAATATTAATAAATGAATGGTTTATAAAAAGTGAATTGTTTTTTTCGCTAAAATTGGACGTATTTCTTTCTTGATTAGTCTCAAAATTATGTACTTTCTCAAATTTAATTAAACTGATAATTAGATAACTTATCTAACTA